GGCCACAAATGTAGTTTTTAACTTACAAGAGACCCTATAGAAACAGAAAGAAAAATCCAACATACTCAGATTGAATCACAAAAGTAATGGGCTTATCATTATGTTCTTTACCTTTCAAGATGTCCAATTTGCTCTTTCTTCTACATCGGGACACAGAAGAGCTTTCCAAGAATAAACTCTGCCACCCAAACAGAAGGGAATTTTTAGGTCAAAGTGGAATGACACCAGCTAGTCCCACATTCAGTCCTACAGGGAGAAGAAGAAAGGAAAGGTTCATACCCCAAATTCACACTGATTCCAAAGAAAACCACCCATTCCCCAGTGCTCTGTGGCCAAAGCAATATTTGGAGACAGAACAGTAAGAAAACAATTAGGTCAAAAATAGGGGAGGAAGGCAAAATCACTAAAACTCAAAATGCAAGAAATTAAAGATAGGGGCGCGGCCGTGCAAATTCATCCCACTGAGGACTAGCCATGTTAAGGGATGACTGGGAGTTTAGAAAAGCAAAATCCACCAGACACAAAGCCTCGTTTTAATCACTGTTTTTAACTTTCTCCACAACCAAGAACAGTCACCACAGATTGCAAAATGGACTTTTGTTTCATGTCTTCTGTATGACCCTGTTCTTAGCATGATGGAGATGCTGAAAAATACTGCAAAACCAAAAATCCAAGTGGCCATGAGATAATTTAACTTTCAAAAATCAGCTGGTCTAGAGCAGAGTTCTTAACCAGGGATCCACTGACTCCCCAGGGGTCTGTGAATAGACTTGGAGGAGAGGGAAATGTCTGTGAACTTGCTGAGAAACTCTTAGATCTTCATTTTGACTAACCTCTAAGTAAAAGTTAGCATGACTTTCAATTGTGAATGTAGTGTTAGTAGCAACCCATGATAGTATTAGTAATCCTGTGACCATGTCACCAACAGACATTTGGTGACCACAAGACATTTTCACATCACGTTATAGTTGTTGTAGATATCTTGGCATAATATGCATACTCATTACTACTTCAAAATTACAGGATCATTAGACCTATGGCTACATTTTATTATTTAATGTGTTATAAAGAAACACATATATTACTATATCACAATTAACATTTTTTACAACTATTTCCATTTCATTTGTAATTCTATGTATTTGATTTTGTGTATTTACAAAACATTTCCAGAAGGGGTCTTAGGCTTCACTAGATTGCCAAAGGGTACATGGGACATAAAAGATAAAAGGTCAAGAACTCCTGATCTAGAGCAAGTAAAGTTTTAATAGACTCGATCATAGTCACTGAGGCAGACAGAGAAGTCAGTCATTCCACCAACACTATGTCATAGGTGAAGGAAATTAAGCTGCTAGGAAGCCAAGAAACATGTCTAAGGCCACACACGTTTGGGGTTGGTATATCCTACCTTAACACTCACAGCATCTATCTTCCCATTCTCCCATGGGGACCTTTGCTTACATTTCTACAATTGTCATCGCTATTACTATCTTGCCACTAAATTGAGAGACATATTTATTACCTTTCAAAACTAATATAAAACAAAAAACCAAACAACAGAACAAGACAGATGTACAAGATACTCCTTTTTGTTCCTTGATCGAGCACGTTACTATAACATTGCAAAGGCTGAATACGGTCTGTTAGTGAGATAGTACTTTTTTAGAAGTGAGAAACAAGTTGGGCTACATAAGCTCTCATTCTCAAAGGTGTTCAAAACACTTCGCAGATAGGTATTAACTTGTTAGGTTGAAATGCAGTTATGAGTGATTATAGGGCAGGTGGTCTCACCACTCTGTAGATGGAAGAACTGGAGAATAGATATGAGAGATTTGTTCAAAGTCACACAAAAGTCAAAAAGAGCACTAACTTCCTGATTCTAAGTTCAAGGCTTTAACCACTGTACCAAGTCACCATGATCAAATATTTAGTTGATTATAGTGCTTGTGAAACCTCTGTATTTTTTTCTCCTACAAGCCAGGGAACATTTTCTTTTGATTCACAGTAGATATTTCTGAAGGCTATGGTGAAAATATCCCATAGAGTAAATTCCAAGTATATAAGTACTTTTTCACTTGTGCTAGTCATCTAAGAATCCAGGTGAGGAATCTTTCGCTCAAGAGCCAAGTTATAATACATACTACTTGCCTTATAAAAAGAGAACTGTATGGAAATTGTTCTTTCATCTTTTAGCCAATGACCTCCCTATTTATCTGCCATGTCTTCTGAAACCACTATCGTCTGATATTCAATACCATTATTATAGAATAATATTTTAATGTTTCAATACCAAAGCTCTAGGTCATAAAACTACCAAATACCATACTCCCCTCCCGCATCTCAACCTTTCTCAACTTTACATTAAATTTTCTCTTCTTATCCAAACCCTCAAACAATTAATGAAACCCTCATTCCTCAAAGCACACTTATGCCATTTAACTAACAGCACCTTTTATTAACCCATCTCTGTCTTTGACAGTTTGAGTCTTTTTCAACAGTAAATAAGGAGGCCTTTCTAAAATTTTTACTTAGGACTATTATATGATTGACACAAACATTTCTTCCTTGCTAAAACTTTCCCATCACTAGTAATCAGTAAAAAAACAAAACCAACAGGACAATCATGTTAAACAGTTTCCACAGTCAAAGGTTCTTAATCCATGAATCTTACCTTCCAACATCCTTTTGCCTTTTGCCCTCCTCCCCTCTCTCAACTATTTTACTGTTTATCCTTACTCCCTGCTAGTTCTGATTCTTCGCTTTGTGTTCCACGCACAGGAACCCAAATCTCTGCCTGAGAATGAACATTTAATTCCTGACTATATCAAGTGCTAACAAATACTCCATTACACATCTTTGACCAAAATGTAACTCTTTATTTACATAGACAATCATTTTCCCACTGAAGTCAGTGCCTATGTTTGCCTTAACCAAAGTCTAACTTTGTATCTATTCTATCCTACCTTAGAGACTTTCTCCACTAAGAGATAGTTATATCCATTTCTCTACTTATCTAGTAATTATATTAATCCCCACTGGACTCCAATTTAGGTTCTAAGTCTCTGCTCTCTATTACTTAAAACCCATTCTTCCTTACTTTCTTGCAGACTAGGGCTCTTGGAGGACAGATTTCAGGTCTCCTTCATGCTCCATAGCCTTCACATAAGGCCCCCAGCAATACTATTACAGGCCTCTGGCCCTTCCCTCTGGACATAATAACCAACCCTCCTGTTGTTTTCCTTAGGATATCTCCATTTCACCAGGCTCACCCAACACTAATCAGTGACATCTTAATACTCTGCAACTTTCAAAGGCCAGTGACTAAGGCTCCACTTTGTAAGTCACTGGTGTGTCCCACGACCCCCACAATGACTCAGTGACCTAGACATCACCAACTCACCTGCTTGAGCCGTTTACTACTCATACATTCTTCTTAGCTTTCACCTCCCCCCACCCTTCAACAAGTCACTGGCCTGCAAAGTCCCCTTCACCTCTCTAACCATTCAGGGGTCTTACAGACCCCACTGAACTCAATCTGAATTCTCTTATTTAGCTCTCCATCTCGCCCCTCCAAAGCCCCTTCATCCCACGACCACGGGACGGTCCCATCTCCTCGTTTAACCTCTCCAAGCACTGCTTGGGACGCAACCTCTACAAAATTTGAGATGCCCCTGTCTCTCCCCACCGCTCGTGGGGCACCCCCACCTCTTCCCACAGGTTCCTCAAGACTCAACTCACTAAATCCGCAACCTCGACCCCCAACCCTTCCCCCCTCCGCAGCTCTCCGAGGCTGGGGCTGCCCCTGCCCCCAAACCAGCTCAAAACACGCGGACGCGGACCCGGCCCCCGCTGCCCCCCGTCTCTGGTCCTTCCCCTCCCCCCTCCCAGGTGCCACTTACCCTGGAGGCAGGAGTGGGGGAGGGGAGAGGAGGAGCGGAGTAGGGGAGGGGGCTTCGGTCCGGGGCGGCTCTCAGCCCCGGGGGGCCGGGGCCAGGGCCAGCGGCAGCGGCGGCGCAGCGTCTCCCCCCGGCGGCGGCAGCGGCGGCGGCGGTGCCGTCCCACTCCCGCAAGCACACATAGGCTCCATTGTCCGCCGGCGCCTCCCCCTTTCCGGCTCCCCCTTCCCGGTACCGCCCCTTCTCCCTCCCCCCGGCCCTCCCCCAGCCGCACCGCGCCACGAAAGGTACAGCCGGCCCCGCCTCGGACACGAGCAGAGAAGCGCCCCCTCCCCCCGGGCCCGACGGCCCGCCCGGCGGAGGAGTGGGGACCGCCCCTCCCCGCCCCAGCGCCGGGCCCCGCCGCCGGGAAGGGCCCGCCCCCCTCCTTGGGAATGTCACTCTTCCCCCTCCCGGAACGCGCGCAGTGGTACCAGCCGGCTGCTTCCTCCTCCCTCTCCCCCGCCTTCTTGTGGAGGCCCCGCCCCTAGCCCCGCCCACCAAGCGGCCCAGCAACCGACCCCGCCCCCCCAATATTTTACTATGGGGCCGCCCACCGCCGGCACCACCTCCTGGTTTGCATGGACACGCCCACCACGTCCTCTTTCACTGATCGTCACCCTGCCAGAGGTGACGCCCACTCCCCACCTTAAAGCGGCAGAACATTCTTTCCCAACTCTACCTCCCTCAGAGCCGCGAGGGAGGTGCGGGCAGGGAGGGTCTCCTCTTTCCCGCACCCTCCTTCTCACGCACACATTCTCCGGGACCGCCTCTCCGCCTCCCGCAGCACTGGGTGCAACCAAAGGGGACTGGAAAAGGCGCGGAGGGGGGAAGGGAAGTGTGGTATTTGGCCATCTTTGACAGAAACGAATTGGGACTGCTGAAGGAACCGGTCTTTCCCTCTCTATTCCCTGCCGCCCTGGTCCCGGCCTAGACCCCAGTCTTCAAGGCCACCTCACACCTCCAGGATGCAGTTCCACCCTGCCCGGTCCCTTTTCCGGTCCCTTCTCGTCACCGCTCAGTGTCTGCACGCCTCTGCCTTTGCCTGCTTTCTCCCCTCCCGAGGGAGCAGGCCCCTCTCGGCATTGCACTCCCCTCCACCCTCTCCGTTCTCGCAGGGGTCCGGCAGACGTGGTGGCTGGTGCAGGGGCTCTCCTTCCATGTCCGGCCAGCCCGGCCCGGCTAAGGCATCGCTACCTAGTGCCCACGGGGGAGTCTTCCTTCCCAGGTCCTCAAATCGCTTCACGACTGGTATAGCTCCCCTGACTTTTTGGAGGCCCCTCTGCTCCGGAGGGCTCAAAGCCCCGGGATCCCGGCACTGCCCCCGGTGAAGTGAGAGAGTAGCCCATTAGATTGCACTTTTTCTCAGAAGGAAAAATGACAGCATCATGGTAGGCGTATGTTGCTGAATCAAAGCTCAGATTTGGGACACTCCTGTTTTATCTCTGTGGCCCTTGTTACTGCCTTGACCACCCGTTATTGCAGACTTGTCTGCTCCGCAGCTCTCCCCAAAATAAACCATTGTTACATCTCTGTGCTTGTGTTTCGTGGAGTCTTGATCTAAGATGTTTCTACAACTATGTGCATTGGCCTCACGTTTTTCTACATCAGTTAAGGGAAGACTGCCCAGGTTACGATGCACTGTGTATTCTCCCTGAAGATGGATAGAGGCAACATGACCAAGAAAACTAGACGAATTTTCTTCCGTTCTTGTTTCTATTGCCCATGGTTTTGACCAGGATACTTATTTCTGTGTTAGTTTCCCTGTCTATAAAATAGGAAACCTTCTTGGGGCAACCTTGTAAGGAATGGTGCTGGTTTGTAAAGACTGGTACAAGAGAGCCCTAAATGATAAAGCTGATTCGCTGGTTTGGAAATCATTTCAAATTCTTAACTAGTCATGTTAAGTTTCTATACCACATCTCCCCTGCTTAGATCCTATGAAAATACGTAGCAAGTTATTTTCTCTTTGTCTTTTGTTATGACTGAGGATATAAATTAAATAAAGAAAAAAGGCCATAGTGGGTATAAACAATATAAATCTAAGATTAATTAAGGGTTCCATATGGGAAATAATTAAAATAAAACGCTTTTTGTCAAGTTTTGGCCATAGAATATTTGATGGAACATAGCTAAGAACCTCTGTAAAAGAAGGCAGGAGGAAAAAGTCAGGTATGGACATAATAAAAAGACAAGCAAACCAGGAATATGCAAGAAACATTTGGGATTGCCTGCGTAGGTGGAAAGAAGGGACGCATAGATTGTATCGATAAGAGAAAACCACTGCTAAAATAAGCTCTGGGCTGGGGTGTTCCAGACTGGGTCACCTCAGCTCAGCAAGCTCAAAAACAAACTCATTATAAAAATAATAGACATGTAAAAAAAAGTATTAACCATTTTACTAGGCATTAAGCCCTCATACATCATATATGTCAAAGTTCAAAATTATTACTGAATCAGAAGACAAATGCAAATGAATATTAAATGTACAGCACTAGGGGAAAGGAGCAATAATACTGAGAATTTAAGCATGCTAAAAGTCATGAAATCTAAAGGTTAGAGTCTCCATAGTAATGTTAATTTAGCTACATTGCACATGGGATCAAAATGTGTTTTAAAATATTATTTATTTTACTACATAGTTTATCTTACTAGAATTTTCACTCTCTGAATTTTCTAACTTCATGCTTTTTCATCTCACTTGAGAAAGAATTCTATTTTGGTATATATGGATTTAACACATTGTATATACATGAACACTAATGGATAATGATGAAATCATTTTTAAAAGCATCCTATAAATAAAAGCTTCAAACCGTTACTGCTACGCTAAAAATTTTAAGATAAAAAGTCATTTTTTTACCCAAATGGTAAAATTGCTAAAAAACGAAGGCTTTTCATGCTAAAGAGACCTGGTTTCGATTTTCTCACTACTGAAATTTGCTTCCCACAATGATGATGAGCACTCACTGTGTTGCAAACGTGGATAATAGAAGTTTGGCTTCTTAGTTCTTCAGCTAATCGCAGCATTTGTGTTAAAGTTTGCCTCCAGTCTTCTCTACCTGTAAACTCCACTTTCAAGCTGAGAGAACAAGTGCTTTTGTTTCCTCAGCTCCTGATAAACATATAGCTAAATTTTAGGGTTGGAAGGGACTCCATTCTGTTTTACAGATGAGAATTCTAAGGCACACAAGTTTATGATTTGCCAAGATTATGCTCATTTTTTAGAGACTAGAATTTGAGTGCAACACTCCACAAGTTCTAACTTCTAAGGATTGTCCATTCCTGACAATATTTATTAGTGTAGGAGAGAACATGAAGTTCTACCTTAGGAATGATGAAATTAAGACTAAGAAACGTTGAGCCCACTCAGCAAGCGGGTGTTAGCGTTATAAGAGGCCCTCACAAATTCTTGCCTTGGTCAAAGTCCTCAGCTTGTCCATGGGTTCCTGCTGTTTGTACTGTTATGACAAATTCATCTACCTCATTGTCCAAACCAAAATTGGCAAATTTCAACTCCAAAGGAATACTGTCAAGACAGTCATTAATGCCTGAAAATGGAGGGTTAGAATGGAATGGCGTCTCTTGACTTTCATAGTGCTGCTGCCCCGATGCTGTAATAACATAGCCAGGAAACTATTTCTTCTTTAGATTGCCCATGAAGGAGAAACAAATTTCCCTATCCTAGCTTTCACCAGTCCATCGAAGTCAATGGGGGAGCCCTGGAGCTTCAGCCCTGCCTGGAAAATTCAGGACTAATTGTCTCTAAGATAGAAATCAATATTCCCACCTCCTTGCCTCCTGCAGCTTCACCTGGGGCCACTGGCACTCTGATGAGAGCTTGGGTCTTGTTCTGTGTCACCACATGTCTGCTTTCCACAATCTGGGATCAGAGGCACCCTATCTGTGAAGCTCTGATGAATCTGTGATGTGACACTCAGATCCCTTAAGAAGGCATCACCAATGTTACCCCTTTATCTTCACATTCAGACCTGCATGGTTCTGCCTCCTATCCTCATCGTTTTGCCTTCCAAAATTCAAGCTTTGTGACATTCTGCCTGCCATTTCCTGAGCCCTAAATGATTGACATATTGATGCTGATCCCCTTCTCCATTTTTCCAATTTAACCATAGTTTATCATGGCTTAACTAGGGACAACCTAAGTGTCCCATGTGCTCTAACCATTTTTCCCCAAGTCTCTCGAACTTCATACCAGCTCTTCACATCCATCCTTAAGAGTCCCACTTTCCTCTTCCTCCTTAATTTCGACTAATTTATTATTTCATTTCTTATTCTTAACCTCTTTCCCAACAATAATTCTACAAATGTCTCTACTCCTTCATTTCATTTCCTTCTCCTAGACATTTCCCTAGGAATTTTGCCCTTCAGATGCACCTATTTTATTTTTCCTAAGCTCTGCCTTTGCTGCTAGACTCTTCCCACTTCACACAATCAACCTCTTCCCAATTTCTCTGGAATTACTACCAAACCATTTCAGCTCTGACTTCACCTTCATGGTTTGCATCCAGGTTGCTCTCATCACCACATTGCCTTTATGGAATCCTTGACCACCCACCATTCCAGCAATGGAAATCCCCAATGCTGAGATGTACCCACACTTCCTTGTTTCCACAGCTGGGCTACCAGACGTTACTAGAAAAAAACGTGAAACTAAGAAAATGGATCCCAACCAAAATTCAGGTGATGAAACTTAAACTGAACTTCATGACTTACTGCATGGTAATCCTTTTATGCGTCCTCATTGTTGCCTCTGTCATATCTCACAGCAATTATTCCAGATTTTATCCACACTTCTCCTACACTGCAAGACCAATATTGTCATCTCATCTCACCTCTGAAGGACCTTAGAGAGAGGTGAGATCAAAGAACCAAGGACTTTAAAGAACGTACGACACAATTAGGAGACAACTGTCTCCTTTCCATTGGCTTGTTACCCTTTGCTTTAGTATCCTCAGTGAAATC